GGGGGGGGGGGGGGGGGGGGGAGGGAAATCACAATGTAACCACCACAGCAATTGTAGTTTATCAGGGAGCCAAGATTCATTGAAAAGACAGGATCTCTTCTTCACTGCAGTTGAAATGATATCGGAGATGTTTGTAGGCCAAGAAGCCCAAGGATTTTTCATCCTCACAGAAAGACAGTATTTGTGTTAGCATCTAGGATAAACTTCTTTTCTAAAAAAAATTAATTAATTAAGGAGTTTTATTTCTTTATTTAAAAACCTTTATACCCTCATTTTTCTTCTAGGAATGCACTGTGACAAACGCTACTATTATCACCACTACTATATTGCTTCCACTACTAACAACAATTTGACAATTAAAAACTGTAAACATGGATAGTTGCATACAAAACCTGCGCATGAAAAGGACATAAAAACAGTTAAAATAACTAATAAAAGGGGATTTTTTAAAAAAGAAAAACAAATTAAACTGCAAACCAAAGGCATTTCTAAAAAGGCAGCTTTCAGAACGTTAATCACAAGGAAGAGAAACGGGCTTACTTTGGGAATCAAGAATCTTGGTACAGCCCCCCAGAGACCTCTTCCTTAGATACAGAGATTATTAAGACATTCAAAAACACTTCTGAAGATGATTTTAATAGTCAGACAAATTTATACAGAAGAAGGTTGTCCAGATTTTGTTTCAAAATGTAAAGGTAATAACTAACATTTGGCAAGGAAACTTCTGTAAACACTTCAATATATCGCCTGTGATCAAACAATCAAACTATTGCATTCTATGTCACCTGTAGTGTTCAAACAATCATAATGGGAATTCCTGTGAAGAACACTTTGCATTAATCTGGACATGAGGTACCTAAATCATGTATAACCCTTTAGAGTTCTGAGTTCTTAAGAAATGGGCAGAATTAATCCAAATGAGGCTAAAACTCTTCTTCCTGATGTCAGGTCCTGGGCCCCGAAGCTCCAAGCCAGAGCCAAACTATTCCCACAAAATTACCCTATTAAATGTGTCTCACCCAAGAAGTTGTCAGAATTAGACAGCAAGACAGAGAAAAGAAGCATTGGCCCTGGTCTAAAGATTGTAAAATAAGACAATTTTTATGCAACTTTGAAATAGTATAAAAACAAAATAATGTTAAATCTTGTTTTCATTAGAAATATAATTCAAGTTCATTGAGTAGCTCCAGCAGATAGCAGCGTATGGATTTTAATAAATGTTTAGCTAAAGAACTTGTCAATTTAATTACTGAAAAATGGAGGATAATCCTACAATTATTCTTCTTCAATTCTTTTTGAAGCTATGTTATAGAGACTCCTTTCAATACTAGAAACAGACTCACCAATAGCTTCCCAAGTAAAATAAATTACAACTTTGATCAACAATGATGCCTCATATTTTAAATTATATACTTTTTCTGCTTCATTTTATGTACCATAGGAAACATCTAGGGCTGGTGCCCATGAATACATAGGATACTCAAGCTGTTATTTACTTTAAAAGAAAAAAAAATTACACAATTACTGCTCGCTTGAAAAATGTTATATTACATACCTTTTGGTCCTTGTTCACTTTATTGTAACTGAATCAGGCCCATGTAAGCCAAAGATTGCAAACTCAGTTGCCATAAGTGCCACATGAGAACTAATCCAACAGCCTGAAGACCTCATTACTGAAGCCCACACTCACCAACACAAAGAAATGAAAAGCCTCATGGCATGCCACCAAACATAAATATATCAAATTAAAACAAAACAGAACAGAACAAAAATCCTGTAATGTGAAACAGTGCCATAAGCAATGTTTCATTTTCTTGGAGCTTTGCACCTTCAGAAACACGCCATTCATCAAATGTATCTGATTTTGAAAGTTCACAACTTGTCCATACCCCTTGCCATGGCCACTACAACTGCTGCCTGCCATCAGCAGCAAGCCATAAACCGCAGATACCCACAGGCTCATCCAACCTAGGATGACACCCTCCCTTCTAAGATCCAAGTTATGTTCACGAGGCAGCAGAAGAAGAGCACCCTGCCTGCAGCTGAAATGGCACACCAAAGTAGGGTGAGGAACATACCTGCCCTAGTGCACCCAAACGGAGCACCAAGACATGCACTTCTCTCAGCCCCCCAGAAGATCCACATCACCCAGCTGAGATCAGCAATCCCCTGCCCCATCCTCAGCAGCTGCTTCCCTGCTGTACTCACAAGTTAGGCATCGTCCATGGACTATGAGTGTGGGGCCCTGATTTAGGTGTGAATCAACCTTTACTCCAGTTTGCATTCCAGTCTACTTAAATAGACCTCCTCTTTTTCAAGTCAAGTATTTCATTCTTGTTTATTTTTCTTTTCCTTTATCATTGTCTTATGTGTATATTGATTTTCATAACTTTGGCATATTTCATTTAACAGCCAAGAGCAACCTTTATCTGTTAGGCACAGTACGCTCTACAGGATTCTTCATAAACTGATGTTAAAGGTCTAAAATTCTTCCATTCAAATGCAATATATGTCTGCCTTTGTTGGCTCCCTAAGAATATCATACTCTACCATATTGTCTAATCTTGTTGTTGTTGTTCAGTCGTTAAGTCGTGTCCAACTCTACGTGACCCCATGAACCATATTGCGCCAGGCCTTCCTGTCCTTCAGTGCCTCCCTCAGTTTGCTCAGTTTTTGTCTAATCTACAACTCACTTTTTTCTTTTTTTTTTAATCCTTTTGACATGTTCTCATATTAACAACAGTATGTACTTTAGAAGACATGACTCATGTTGTTGTTGCTTTTTTTTTTTTTTTAATTAGTGGAAATTTTTGGCAGTGATATTTACCTCTAGCTGAATTCACCTTCAAGATGAAGTCCATGTTTTGTAAATTCCTTAATTTCTCCTTTTATAAGAGTTTTATTATTGCATCTGCAAATCTAAGTTGCATAAATGAATGCATTTTTTTGTCTCTTGCTCTCATCCAAAGCTATTATTTTCCAAATTGCTACAATTTTGTGTTGACTTGTGCACAAAACCCTACATGCTGAGCTCCACTAAAGCTGTATGTGATGAGGTGTTACCAATGTTACATTACTGTTCTGAACATAGACTTTGGAGAAGTCTAACATTCAGCAGTACAGCACATTTTACATTAAAAAAAAAACCAGCTGTCTACTAATTTATGAAACTTAGGTAGCATGTCTTAATACTTGTTACCAGAAATTGACTGTGGAAAGGGGCTATCGTTTTTCTGTCTTGGCTTGAGAGTTATCTAAGTCAGTTTCTCAATGTTGGTTACTTTAAGATGTATGGACTTGCTGACTGGGGGATTCTGGGAGTTGAAGTCCATACATTTTAAAATAGCCAAGGTTGAGAAACTCTGATCTAAGTGTATCTAGTTGTCAGATAATAGATGGTCTTTTGGGTTAATCCAGTAGGACTTTTCCTATGTTCAAAATATTCCACCTTCAGAAACACCTAGGTATGACTGTTAGGGAAGACTCCTCTGAAACCCTGAAAAACTTCTTCCAATGAATACACAAAAGATATAGCTGCATGGTCCAAACAATTTTAGGAGAAAGGCATTTTCCTACATGTCAGCCACGCTTGGAGAGAAGTCAAGAGAGAGAGAGCCAGTTAGGTTTAGTGGTTAAGGCACCAGGTTAGAAACCAGAAGACCATGAGTTCTAGCCCCACCTTAGACATGAAAGCCAGCTGGATGACTTTGGGCTAGTCACTCTTTCTCAGCCCAACTCACCTCATGGGGTTGCTGTTGTGGGGAAAACAGGAGGAGGAAGGAGTATTTGGTATGTTCTCCACTTTGAGTTATTTATAAAAATAAGAAATCTAAAAAAAAAAAAAGACCTAACTTTGTAAATGAAGAATACTTGCTATGCATACTTTTTAAAAGAGGAACATATTTAGTAGGGCTTCACTTCTGCTAAGTGGAACTAAATGAAATAAGACATACCAAACCCAACAGGCAGCTTGATAGTCCACGTGCAATCTAAGCTGCTGGGATAATTTCCAGGGAATCCTGGGCTAAGGATCACACCACTGAAGTCTGACATGGAACCACCACACTGTGCTACAAATGAGAGAGAAACACAAAAGGGTCATTTTAACCAAGTTCTCTTTTCTTAGCTTCTAAAGCAGTGTTTCTCAGCCTTGGCCATTTTGAGATGTGTGGACTTCAACTCCCAGAATTCCCCAGCCAGCCATGCTGGCTGGGGAATTCTGGGAGTT